GACGCGGGGAGCGGGAAGGAGCTGGTGGAGCTAAAGGTTATCTGGAACAAGAACAAGTACGACGTGAAGTTTTGCCTGGACAGCACGGGGGCCGAGCTGAAGCAGAAGATCCACTCGCTCACAGGTCTGTCGGCGCTGCCGCCGTCTCTCCCGTCTCGCCCGCGGCTCCTCGCCGCGGTCTCGTAATCCTTGTTCTTGCCTCTTAGGCCTCCCACCTGCTATGCAGAAAGTTATGTTCAAGGGACTTCTACCTGAGGAGAAAACGTTGCGGGAAATCAAAGTAACGAACGGAGCGAAAATCATGGTTGTTGGCTCTACTATCAATGATGTCTTAGCGGTAAATACACCCAAAGAAGCTGCTCAACAGGAGGTCAAAGCTGAAGAAAATAAAAAGGAGCCGCTTTGCAGACAAAAGGTTATTGATGTCTCAGTAATTCCTGGCGTGGGGGAGCTGTAGGATTTACGCGGTTCTCTTGCAGTCCTCTGCAGCCACCTCTGGGGCCTGCTCCTCCTCGGGGCAGGCTGGGGTTCGTGTCTGGCAGTGGCAGGCGAAGGGCTCTGGTCAGGGCAGGCCTAGCGACAGCTTAGCCTAGCGCAGGCTGGGGCTTTGCTAGACACAGCTTGTGCTGGTGATAGGTACAGCCTGGCATTTCAGATAAGAAATGGTAAATAATAGAAATATTTAGTGATTGTTATCTCGAGCACAATCTAAATTAATGATATCTAAAAACTAACAAATTTCTGTTGTCATAAAAGAATTTGATCTGCAAAAACTGCCTTAGCAGTTCCTTCAGCTGTCGCAGCGCTGGAGGGAACGAGGATGTTGAATCCTCCTCTCGCCTCCTCTGCGTAGGGAGCGCAGTGCAGTGCGGTGAGGCTCGGTTTGGTGGCGGTGCCGCAGTGGTGTGGGGCTGGTAGAGGATTTTCAGCTCAAGGTATTACCGGCCCCGTACCTTCCTCAGAATAAACTTGATTAAAAACGTAGTAGTGCATCATGAAACATGCTTTTGTTTTTCTATAATTTATCATAGTTCACGTTCACTGTAAGTTCCATCATTGTTTAAAGGTACTCAGCGACTTACAAGCTGTGAGCATGGTTTTCGTAGTTACTGCTGCTCTAATCTCCTCTGGTTTGTTGCTGTGTGCGGTACGTTGCACTGTCAGATGCGGAGGGTTGTCTGCCCTTCGCTGGATGTAACCCTTGACTGTTAAAACTGCCTTGCCAAATGCCGACTCTGTGATCCAGCATGTACGATATGAAAGTGGGGCTCAGGGTTTTTACATTTTCTGTAGACACGTGTTTATGTATATTCTCGAAGGGAGGTTACGCTTTGCGTTATATTGCGGTTTTATTCATTTATATGGTTTCTTTGGACTGTTGTAGAAAGCGCTCCATTAACTTTGAAAATTAACCGTTTCCTGTGTGATAAATGACTGTGAATAGTCCTTAACTGTCTCTTAGTGCTATCGGGACGCGGTCAAGGGTGCAGCTGGAAGTAAATTGAAGAGCTCTGTTGTCCTTCTGTAAATTCTAACTTCTGTTTTTGTATTGTAGCAACACAGAAAAGTATTGGATAAAGGAAAACCTGATGATGTGATGCCTTCCGTTAAAGGCGTTCAGGTAAGTAAATAAGTGCTTGAGACATTGTCATAATCAGGAGAGAGACTTTTTTGTGGTTTGAGTTCTTTCTTCGCTGGTTCAATCGCTCTTTGCTATCCTAGCAGAAAACTGGGAAGACGGATCATCCTCATGCTTAAAAAGTTAAGAGAATATAGCTTTTCCTCTTAAAGTCCTTTACCGTGACTTATTATGTTGCCTCTTCGTAGGAGCGCCTGCCAACAGTGCCATTATCTGGCATGTACAACAAGTCAGGGGGGAAAGTAAGATTGACCTTTAAACTTGAGCAAGACCAGCTATGGATTGGTACAAAAGGTGAGCAGCTCTAAAACTCTGAGATGAATAATTGATAATTGGGCTATAAGTGAATTGTGTGACCTAGAAATAGCTTCTGGTGTGACTAAATAGTGTTTAGGGAATAGCGTTGGTGGTGTAATACTTCCAAAGTAGATTTTGCTTCCTCGTCTCGGATGCCGTTCTCCCAGATTGTTGAATGTTACCTGATATTTTACTTCTGTTCTTGAAAAAACTTGACTTCAGGTGTGCCAGTAGACTAATGTTCCAGTCTGCTATTCATAGCTCCAGATGTAAATCATGATATTTGGCATTTCTAGCATATCTCAAAAGCGCTTCATAAACATTGGTTCGATGCCAGCATCACATAGAGGCTCAATGGCTTGGCTAAGACTCGAAAGGGAATCTCAGGACCGGCATTAAAGCAAGAGTGCTGGCGTCTCTGACATGATCTGCCCTTCCAACCAAAATTAGTTGGGTGTCTTGTTTCAGTGATGCACAACTGCAGAAACGATGGCATGTGTTCCTGTCAGGGGAATCAGTTTACCATCTTGAGAGGTGGCAGGAGGAGCTGAGAGTGCTGCGGTGATAACGTGCGTGGCTGAGGACATCTGATAAGCCCCTGCCTCCAAAGGACGCTGTGCTCCTTTACTTTGACCGGGATGGGGCAATGTTGTAGTGATGAGCAAGAGGAGTAGAAGTGCTTGCTCACTGTCCCAGTAGAGTAACCTGATTGGATGGTGTAGTACCTTTGGATGGCGCCTCCAGCTGCTACGCTATCTCCAGAGTAAGCAGAAATCACGGAAGTGTTTGACCTTTCCTTTGTAGAACAGACTTGACTGTGGAGATTTTTCTGGCTTTAAAACCTCTGTTGGTACCAGTTGCAGTGATTTTTCTGCTGGGCTAAATGATGGAGCAAGACATTGGGGGGTTTTCTCCTCTCCAGACTGGGCAGGCAGATCTTTTTGTTGCCGATCATGTCTTCTAAATGCATGCTTAGCATTAAGGTAATTAATCCTCTTCCCTCACCTTCTAGACTAGTTTCAAGTTTAGTAGTTCCGAAGTGTTCTAGATTAGTGTTTCTCAAGCTGTGAAATTGGAGTCGTCTTGTAGTCATCTGTCTTTCACGTAACCTGTTTCCCTACTTCCCAAAACTAGCAGCAGCTTGCTCCCTCCAGGGAATGGTTGTAATTGCTAGTTGTTGTTGGGAAGAGCTTCTTCCTGCTCCGAGAAATTCATGGCAGATGCCAGCACGTAAGAGCTAGAGTAAAACCAACGGGGCGTTAACACAGGTTTTCACTTGCTAGTCCTGGGAAGTTGAAACAGATTCTTCCCCCGTGCAGCCTCCCTGTGCTTCACAGATCGCTTTGTACGTGTTTGAGGTTCGGTGTAGGGAGGTGTTCCTTAGCTGCTCCGTGTTGTAGAGGTGTTGATAACGTGGATTTGTCTGTTGCTGAGATAGTGTGAAGTGTCATTGATTGGAGGGGTGCTAAACGCCTGCAAAGTGAGGTTTTACTCGGTGAATGTCGTGGGCCTGAGCGGGGTAGTTCGGAGTCAGCTTAGTTACGGCATGGAGGTAGAGAATATTGGTCTTTAAATCACTGAGTTTATCTCCCTGTGTGCCTTTTTTAGGCAGGTGCTTTTTATTTTGATCACACAAATTGGGTATATCTAAGGAATTCGTAGTTTAGTTTCCCCTTTGTAGAGTGGTTATAGTTTCCTCTGTCTTATATCCAAGCAGGTAGTTTTAGGCTGATGCTGAAAGCTGGAACTGAAAAGGGTGGATCTTGGAGTTCAGTCTTCAGAAAGAAGTGAGGACAGAACTGAGACAGAAAACGTGCCATGAGCCATACGCTTTGTCATTCTTGGTGGTTACCTCTGTCATCTAATTGTAGTAGTCTTTTTTTTTTTTTTTTCAATTTCTCTTTTTGTTTCTTTCCCTATTTGCTCATTGCTGTGTCCTTCCCTGTGCTTTTATAGTAACAGCTGAACGCTGCCTCAGGGTAAAACCAGGACTAGGCTTTCAAAGAGTTAGTTAGCCCGTCTTCATTCAGCTCTCAGCCTTGTCATTTCTGCAGAGCTTAGTATAATCCTTGGTGGTCAGTCCTGAACATTCTTGCACGGGGACCAGCTTTCACTGTGCTGGGTAATCCCGCTGCTCTGAGCGGAGTTCCTATGGGGAAGTGTTAAAAAAAGCCAGGGTTTTCCATCACTCGGTTTAGGCCTGGATCGGGTATGCTGAAGCATGTGATGCAGATGTAAAATGCAAGGAACTGTGTGGTTGATCCGCTCCTGGATTCCTTTAAATTACCAGTGTGGCAGCAGTGGGGGGTGTGGTGATGTGGAGACGGGCTTCTCAGCTGCAGGCACCCAAAGCTCGCCCCGAGAGGAGGCTGCTGGCCTGAGGAGCTTTTGGAAGTCGTGGAGGTGGTATTTGAAATGAATATGAAATACTGCTTCCTTGTATATCAGAAATAATACTTTGATCAATTTTAATGTAGAGAGAACAGAAAAGTTACCCATGGGGTCCATTAAAAATGTGGTGAGTGAACCTATTGAAGGACATGAGGATTATCACATGATGGTAAGTAACGTCTCTGCTTTAATAATATCCAGTCTAATTACTTCATGCAAATACACACAAGTAAGACTTCAAAGGTGGAGCAAGTTGGAGGCTGATAGTAACAGCAGCCTGGTGCTGTGGGAGGTGGGACTGTGGATGTGGTCTGCTGTCACTGCAAATATTTGGGGTGGCATATTGAGGATCAGCTGTTTTATGGAAATCTGGGCTGGTTTCACACCAGCATTAACTGCAGGAGCGTTACTTCACATCTTCTGTCTGGTGACAGCGTTAAAACAGTAAAAGTAGCCACGATATAGCTCATGACTTCTTCATGTTAGGGGTATTTTCCCATATCTAGTTTGATTTCTGGTTTCTGTTGTATTTATATAAAAACAACAGGCCTTGCTAGAGGTTAATAAAATAGCAATTGGGTTCTGTAATATTTTTTTTCCCTATCTAATTCTCTGAAAAACTGGTATGGGGTCCAGAAAAGTAAAGCATTTAAGAAGAAAGATGTGCTAATTCTACTGAATTTTTGGCTAATTGTTTTATCGGAGGGATTTTTTGATGCCTTGCTTTCCAAAGTACAGTAACTCAGCTTTCACTGTTGAAGTAAGTTCCTCATGTAAGTCTGTTCCCTTCTTCAGGGGAAGAAAGGGGAGATGTTGTACCTTAGAATTATTTTCTGCGCCAGGGCTCTGGCCTAGTCTTTGTCCAAATACTTGATTTTTGATCACCCGTGTGAGAAAACGTCCTCTGCAGAATAAGCTGCAATAAACTCATCGGAAAGCAAGGCCGGAGGTTACTGGCACGCCACGGTGCTCCCCTCCCGTGTGTACTGACATATGTTGAGAACAGGACGTTATGGCTAAATACAACGTTCTGTGAAGTTTTATGACTCTGGAAACGTGGCCATTGTCTTATTTAGTTTCCTCTTTGGCTTCTCAGCTCTGTGCGTTCTGGTCATTTTTCTAGAGACTTTGAGTTACGCTTCAGATTCTGTCTTCCAGAATAATTTCCTCATGCTCTTGAAACTGGCCAAGCGTTTTCGTTGCCGCTGTGGTACTGTGAAAGGAAAAGAGCTTGTCTTTTAAATTGGTACTTTGCAGTTGTTGTTTCTCTGAGGAATGCGTGTGGAATTGCTTACCGAATATCTGCACCGTGCAGCAGGTGTTGGAAGGAGGCCGTAGGTGTAACAGACTTGTCTGATTTTTGCGGTGGCTGAGCTGCATCTCTCCACTGGTATAAGCTGTTCTGTTTCCCGTTTGTAAATGTTGTCGTTTTTAACTTTGCAGGCATTTCAGCTGGGCCCAACAGAAGCGTCTTACTACTGGGTCTATTGGGTACCAACTCAATATGTTGATGCAATCAAAGACACGGTGCTGGGAAAGTGGCAGTATTTTTGAAAGCACGCTCACCTCTGGCACAGGAAAATGACACAAAGCTAAGGACACTGCTGGGAGAGGCCTCCAACATCCCTGGATGTGATAGTCCTGGAACTTATTAATAAAACATGCTAAACGAGGCATTGATGGAAGCCAGAGGTGATGTTCTTTCACCATTAGTTTACTTTTAACTTAAAAATTTCACCATCCCTTTTCTGCAGTCAGCTTCAACCATATTTAAAGCAAATACAATGGAAATCAATAAATCTTCATTCACAAAATATTGTGTGTAATACACTTAAATCTGCTGAGAGTTGATCTTCCAATTTAGTTTTAAAAAGAAGATATGACGATGTATTATTGAGGATTTTTTACATGGTTTGAACAAAAATATTTTCATAATCTTTCAGTTACAAGCGTTAGGCTTAATTTAGTTACTTGGTTGTGACTGAGAATTTCAGAAACAGTTTTTTAAAAATAAACTTTAAACAGTATGCAAAATTGACGTTTAGTAAGCCATATTCTGCTGGCCCTTTGATTTCAGGTTTGACTCTTTGGTAGCAAAATTTTTTTTTTTTTTAAAACCCAAAGATGCCCTGCTTTTTTTCTTTTTGTTCTTTTTCCCCCCCCCCCCAATGCTGGCTGCCCTGGGCTGGTGCTTGGTGCGGCGCGTCTGGAGCCGACGGACGCCCCGCGGGTGTTTGGCGATAGCGACGGACCCGGTGCTGCTCGCTGTCCCCTTCCGTGCCGTTAGCCCCCCTCCCACCCGCGCTCCTCTCTGCCTGTTCGCTCCCGAGGGTGCTACATTTTAGGAGCATTTTCTTCCTCCTGCGTGTTGCAGTCCAGACTCCCTGTGCAGCTGTTGGGATGACGCTGCCCTGTGTGACCAGCAGGACCTGGAACGCGCTGCCCGGGCCGAGCGGGTGGAGCGGGGACCCACGTCTCGCGGGAGCGAGCCAGAGCCCCTCCTGCCTCGTCTGGAGGGAGCGGGCGAGAGAGGAGCTCGGATGCTGTGTCGGATCCTAGATAACTGCAGTAGTCGTTCGTGACCTGGATTTGAACGTGTGTAGTTCTCTTATTCAGTGAGTGAGACCAAATTTAGAGTATCTATCCAGCCACCGATCTTTTTGAAATTTAAATCGCCTTTCAGCTTTTCTCTTGCTCAAGTTTACAGGAAGTTCTTGCGTCTCGTCCTGTCTGAAGTCACGCTCCTCGCCTTTGGCTTGGGACGTCCCGCGCGTCATCTCAGCAATTCACGTGCCATTTATCTCAGGTTTTCTGAACGGACCTTTCAGTCCCGAAAAGGTGCACACCCTTAGCAGATTGTATGGTGCAGCCAGACTGAATCAGTCTGGCTCTGTGTTAAACCTGCATCTGACGGATCGCTGTGCTGTGATTAACGCTGCAGGCTCCGGATCGCACAGTGCAGGCAGCTCAACGCTTTGTGAAAATCCTGGAGAAACAGCCGCTTAGGAATAGCTGATCTTAGTATATTCCACGTCCATTTTTCACTCTCCTTGAAACAGCCCAGTTGAAACTCAGCAGGTGCAAATTCCCAAATGAGTATTTATTTTATTCTTATTTTATTTGAGAGACTGGGAAAAGCGTTCACTTTATGCGATGTGTTAAGGTTTCGTATTTACCTGTAGACTCTTGATAGCAACGTAAGCAGCTTTCGTTTTGTATTTTCAGTTAGGACATTCACGCAATAGGAACTAAAGGTGTTTCATATCCTACATATAAACTAGTGATGTGCTTGTTTGCTCTTGTAGCCTGAGGTCTTTCCTCTCCGTTCCCAAGCCCCAGCACGTGTTGTGGCGGCGCTGTCCGTGCCCCGGAGCCGCCTCTCCCCAGGCCCGGAGCGAGCCCGCGCGGGTGCTGGGGTGGCCCGAGCTCACTCAGAGCGTTGCAAGTTAAAGGCAGCTGTTGCACTTCGGATCGCCAGCCCTGGCGTCAAGGCCCCGATTTCGAATGCGGTACCTGGTGGGAAGTCTGCGCTGCAGGGTGAGGGGAACGGGCGACGTTGGCTCTTTCTGTCACTCGGGGTCACCTTTTCACTCGCTGTCCGGTCGTGCTGTGCCTGTCGGCTCCCCCTCGCTGCTTGACTTGCTCGGACCTGTCTGTACCTCTGTTCAATTCCATTTTCCTTTCCTGTTCTCCCGTTTGCTCCCTGAGAGGACACGTCTCTTAGTTCCAGCTCCTCCCCGGAGTGCCCGTGGCTTCTGTGCTCGACGCAGCGACGGGGTGAGTAGGTGCTGCTGCTCGTGCGGGTGCCCCGGCCGAGGCGGGGGGGCACCTCGGGCCCGGGGTACAGGGTGATGGAACCTCCCTCCCTGCCCCTCGCGGGGGCCCGGGTACTCCGCATCCTGTGCCAGGGACTGTCAGTCACCTCGGAGGAAACGGGGTATAAAAGCTCTTGGTCCCAAAGCAGTTCTAAAGATGGAGAAGAAAACCTAAGAAAATGTGATCCGGTTTAGGTGCTTCTGTTCAAGTTGGATTTGATTTGGAAAAGGAAATGGTTTTACTTTTTTGTTCTAGGTGGAAAATTTGAGTTAAAATACAGGAAAGCACTACTTACACAAAACGCTTAAATTGGTGTTTGTCAGCTTAACGTAGTAGTTTTCTTGGGAGTTCTTTAAAATGAATGTTCCAGTGGAACTTAGCAGCACCACTTTTAAGATGCTTTTGGAATGATGTGCAGCTTTATCTTCTGGTATATACTGATTTTTCCCAGGCAATTACTGATTATTAACATGTAAGAAAACACCATCTCTAGTTCAAGTGTTGCAGCTGGGCAGCTGTTTGCTGGCCCCTCTCTTAATTTAGATTTCACTCTCTGGTACCTGTGATCACCTCCAGGGCAGGGGCAGCGTAACGGCTGCTCCTGGGCAGGAACTGGGCGTCAGTCCTCAGCGAGCCACGAGCGTGGTGAGTGAAGGGCAAATACAGTCAGTATTTTGAGTTGGCTGCTAGAGGTTGTTCTGAGATCCAACGTGTGACCTGCCGTAGGAAGCCTGTGGCAGTACCTGCCCGTTCTGGCGCGGGAGTTCATGCCAGTTCAATTCCAGTTTAACGACGCCCGTTCCATGGAGGTCGGTTCCCTGCTGCGTGTGCCTGTAACTCCCTGTGAGCGTTTTGGGGCACGATTCCTTAGGAAGGCGAGTGCAGCTTTGGGCTTAAAACTCGGGGGTTAAAGGATCCGCAGCACCGCGCGGGTTCCCACAGAACACGGCCGCTGTGTCACGCTGCGCCGGGGGTTCCTGCTGCACCCGGGGCTCTGCGTCGCTCCGGGACGGCCCTGAGTGTCCCGGCTGCCCCGTGCCCCGGCCCCTTCCCCATGCCCTGTGCTCCGCGTTTCTTCTCGCCTCGTCCGAGCTCAGTATTCCTCCTCCTGACTGTGCGTCCCAGGTGGGGTAGTGCTGCATCGGGAGTCTGTCACTAACCCGGATTTGGGTCCGAACGGAGGTTCTATCTTGCACAAAATTCTTGTGTTACAAGTTTTTCATATCAAGATTAAAGCAAATCATTAATTTCCATTGTTTCAGAAATGTGTAACTTAAAAAAGGGTGTTGTGCTGATGGAGGAGGAGGAGTGATCTGAATTCAGAGAACTAGGTAAGAGCCCGTTAACGGGCACGGGGCGTCGCAGCTGGTAACACGCACAAGTGCTGCCTGGGCAGCGGGGGCCGCGGCTGCCCCGAGCTCTGAGGGCCAAGGAGAAGCAGGTCGGGGGCCGTGGTGGCGGCGGGTCGGCCCCTGCAGCCGCGCCGCGCCGTGCCCGCCCCCGTGCCAGCTCTCTTCCACGCTTCCCTCCTCCTCTTTGCTTTTTCTCCCTCTGTGACTTGCTTTTTCCAACGGACTGTCCCCATTTCGAGTTCCGTGCTCCGGCCTTTCGCCGCCTGTTAGCGTTGTTGCTGGCATCTCGTTTTGTTAATTAACGTCCTCGTCGCTGGGGAGGGAGGAGGGGGACCAGGAGAGCTGTAGCATGTGGCCGTTTTACCTTCTAGCCAAGGACTCGCTTTCTGTGGCTCATGGAAGTTCACTATGTCTTATCCATACTCGAAGCAATTTGTTCTTTAGTTTTATATTAAAATAAAACAAGTCTTAGGTATTTGTGTCCGCTGCAGATTTATTTTAAATGGAATATGTAAGTACCATGTATTATGGTATTTTTAAATAATCTATTGCCTATTTCAGGGGAGGGGGAGATGACAAATATTTAGTCTTAGATTTGCACTGCTGGATTTTTAAAGTGTAACCTTGACTGGTTATCCTATTGTTTTATTCTGTAAGATTAGTCCTATGAATTAAAGTTTGATAATTAAGTATTTTCCTGTGTGTGAGTTTCAGCATTCTGTGTGTACTGAGGTACTTCTGGCCCAGGAACGACTGTCAGCAAAGGGTTTGTACCTGCTTTGTTTGCTGAGAGATGGAGGCGGGCAGAAACACGTGGCCCCCCCTGCTCGCCGTGGCGCCCGACGCCCTCGGTGCCTTTCTCCGGGGGTGGGGATTTGGGTGCGCGGCCACCTCCACCCTTCCGCCCCAAACCCCCGTGGCTTACAGGACGATTCTCCAGCTCCCGGGGTTTGATCTTCTTGTCAACAAAGCCCTGGGCCGGCGGAGCGAGCCCAGCGCCGAGTTACAGGTGGAGGCGGCCCGGTGCCATGTCACCAGTCCCGCTGCTGCCGTGCTGGGGCTGCCCCCCCCGGGTTGTTAACGCTCAACCCCAGCTGCTCCTCCTCGCTGCTGGCTGAAAAAACTGCCCCCGCCCATTTCACAAAAAAAAAAAAAAAAAAAAAAAAAAAAA